TTTCACAACGAAACACACAGTGCCTTCACGACATGGCGGCGGCGGCGGCAACAATACTACAGCGAGAATAAAAGTTACGCCTTCTTTCTTTGCGTGAACATTTGGGCGGCGTTATGCAAATCTTCCCACATAGTGATGTAGACGTGGGGGTGTGTTAGAACGAGCCGTTTTAGGTAGGTGTGGCTGACTCTTAACTTTTATAAAGAATATCTCTTTGGATTTGAGACTTTAGTCTTTGCAACTTTACAGATCTTCTTTATGCACCAAGAGCTTGTAACACTTCAAAGAGAAAGGAAAAATTTAAATCGCATCATATGACCCCTTTAAGTTTAGAAATTTGACACATTTCACACAGTATCTACTATAAAGACTGATCTATTATGCTAAAATAAGCTAACAGCATGTAAAAAATTTCCTTTTTGTAACGTGGATTTTTAATCTTAAGTGAATCATCTTTTGCAGAAAGCAATATGTCTGTCTCTAGATCGTTTTTTTTTTTGTTGTTGTTCTGATACAATTTTCACAAGCAAATTGTACATTTTCAAAACTCTTAGTACTAATCTCACATCAAAAACATACTTTTATTTTCAAACATTTCAGCATATTTTTAGTTGTGTTAGTACAATACACAAAAGCACAAAGTATTATTTCCATGAATTTTTTTTTCTTTTTTCTAAAAGTTTCATTCACAGTTACTGCCTTTTCATAATGTATGGTCAGATATTATTGTACTAAGAGTTTTGAAAATGTACATCTTATTTGTGGAAACTGTACCAAGCGAATGGGAAAAACCCCCACTGTAATATACATGTATACTGTTGTGTAAATACAGTACAATTCTTCACACCCCAACAAGAACATCACAATTGTATAGTTTGTTGTTGTGGCACATACAAACCATTACTTGTTTGATCATTTGATTGGGTTTGATCATCCAGTGACAGTTTGTATTCTACCAAACTCTGAAAGTATATATAAATATAAAAACATTAGTACTTTTTACTCACCCATGTCTGTTTCTAAATGCGTGATCACTAGAAACAGAAAAAAAATATTAAGTTATAAAGGGTTCATAATAGGATCCATCAACAGTCAGATTTTAATATTATTCACCACTTGAAGACCAGCAAAAAAACAAGATCAGTTTACATATCACAAAGTAATCTGTAATGAACTTTATTCATATAAGAATTCATATATGCACTGTGTATTCATTCATTGTTTCGCAATGAATTTTATTCAAATTAAATTAATAATTTAATAAGGCTATATTAAACAAAATTCACCTTTTGGTATCTTCTGACTCTGCAAAAGTTCATCAAGTTCTAAAAAAAATCAAAATAAAGACAAGATGAAAGAACATTGAAATTATATAATTTTTGAATGCAATTATTAAATATAAATTATCATTAGATGTGTTAAAATGTATTAACATCACATGTAAATCTGGTAACTAAATGAATAATTTAAATACACATGGATACAATGTAAACATGCATTTATTACATCTCTAAACTGCTATAAAATCAAATCTATCTCATTTTATTTATAAATAAATAGAAAGTTTGTTAATTGTTTTGCAGACCAAAGTAGAGTTCATAGTTAACTATATAAGGGATAATCCACAGCTAGGTGTGCAGCTGATTTTAATGTAAAGAAGCACTCGCTGCAAAACTAACCATGTTTTATTCTCCTGTTCTCAGTCTGTAGTTGATTGTGTTCTGAAAAAAGTTGTAATAAAGACAAAACAACCTTGAATAGATATGGACAGTTGTTTCCACTAGGAGATAAAAAATTAATAAGGTAAGGTAATACATTTATAAGGTAATTGTGACTTTTTATTTCACAATTTTGACTTTTTTTTCTTGCAATTCTGACTTTTCCTGACAGAATTACAAGATATAAACACAGAAGTGCTCCCAAAAATGAAAAATCTGTCATTAATTACTCACCCTCATGTCGTTCCAAACTCGTAAGACCTTCATTCATCTTCGGAACACAAATTAAGATACTTTTGATGAAATCCAAGAGCTTTCTGACCCTGCATATATAGCAATGCCACTGACACGTTTTATGGCCCAGAAAGGTAGTAAAGACATCATTAAAATAGTCCATTTGACATCAGCGGTTCAACCGTAATGTTATAAAGCTACGAGTATATTTTTTGTGCAGAAAGAAAACAAAAATCATGACTTGCTGTCTATGGAGGGTCTGAGAGCTCTCAGATTTCATCAAAAGTATCTTAATTTGTGTTCCGAAGATGAACGAAGGTCTTATGGGTTTGGAACGACATGAGGGTGAGTAATTAATGACAGAATTTTCATTTTTGGATGAACTATCCCTTTAATCTTTTGTAGATCAAAATTAATTCATTGATTCATTGCAGTCTGAAGAAATGTCAGAAAAATAGATCAAAATGATATAATTGTTTCACAACTCTGAAAAAAGAGACCTTAATAAATAATGAAATAATAACTTTGACTTTTAGAAACAAAACACCACTACTGGACACTGTTAGTGGACTGCGAAATGAATAAAACATGTGACTCAAGCTCAAACACAAGAATTTTACCTCTGTATTCATGAACGAACACAGCTATCAGTACTGCCGCAAAACCACTGAGCACGACTACAACTGAAAACAGGATGGCTGATGCCCTCCAAAGATGAAACATATTACCTGTAAATCAAAATAATGACTTACACCGAGCACACTGTCCAGTCAAACATTTATTTCTGTTTGATTCAAAATGATTAATAATGTAAACAATGATATTGTAGTATAGAACATGCATACATAGTAATCAGAATCAGAATCAGAATGAGCTTTATTGCCAGGTATGTTTACACATACGAGGAATTTGTTTTCGTGACAGAAGCTTCCACAGTGTAACAGAATGACAGTGACAAAACAAAAAACACAGATAATAAAAAAAAAATAAAAAAAAAAATAGAACAAGTAAATAAGGAATAAAAATATACAAATAGACAGTTGTATGTACAGGTATATTATGTGCAAATTGAGTATGTGTGTTAGATAAATAAGTGTATGAGTGAATAAATAGTGTGTAATTACTTGTACAGTACAGTACACATTTACCTAATGCACTGAATTCAGTTATTCAATCCAACGGTATCAAATAATCATAAAAACATTATAAATTGCACACCAAAAGTGTCAGTACTTACTTGAGCTGATAATCACTGCCTCCAGCATGTGATGTCTCAGTCTGACTCTACAGTGAATCTTGTCACTGTGATGTATAGTGATAGTGTGTTTGACACTGAATCCGTCTGTGTTTCTGTGTGTGTCTGTAGTTTCTGAACTCAAACTGATTCCTTCACTGTTCCGCCACTCAAGATCAGGTTCAGGATTCCATCCTTCAGATTCACACTGTAGACGAAGCCCTCCTGAATCATCAAACCCATCTACGGTGATCACTGGAAGACATCCTACGACTACAGACCAACATCAACAATATTAGTTTAGTATTTATTTATTTTTTGTCTAAAAACCTGTTTTTGTTTTGCTGACAAACAATTTCACACCCTAAAAATTTGTTTTTTTTTAACCCAAGGGTTCAATATCAGGTTGTTTGACTCAGAACTATGTCAAAACAAAACAAAACGAAATGAAAAAGCTGTTCTTTTGTTCAATATTTACCCAGCAGTGAGTTGCCAAATAACCCAGCAACTGTCATTTTATCCAGGGACGTGCACAGACATTTTGAGGGGCAGGGGCTCAAGTGAAAAAAGGGCACTTCTCATATTTATTTTAATTTGTTTATAAACAAAACGTTAAATATATTTACACAACTCTGACTTACCTATTTATTTTAATTCCCTCACACCCAATTGTTTCATATTGTTTCATTATTCAACAGATGTCTACAAAATAATCAGTTCACAATGGTGTTATAATTACACTTACTGTACCACGCACACACACACACACACACACACACACACACACACACACACACACACACACACACACACTCACAAACTGATGGTGACAAGAACTTTGTTTCACATTTGAGGAAGGGCTGTTAAGATCTATCAGAATACAACATACTAATAGAATGGATAGCCTAGTTATTAGATGAGGAGCCTGAGATCAAGGTTATGAAGTTACTGTTTAAGGCAGGACACTTCATGTACTGTTCAATTTTGAGATTTTGGTCTATTTTGCTTCCATGTCTTCTTTTGCTCTAATGGAAAGGAAATTTCCAAAATACACATTAAGGTGTTTGTTTTAAGCCTACTACCCTCTTCTGTTTGCTTCTGTAGATTTCTTCTACATTAACCAAAACAAGCTATCTGCATATTTAAACATAACATTTCAAGAGGAAAGATTATTGTAAGTCATTAACTAATAATTGGGGAAGTTTTGTGGTGATATGCTTTATTTATTTTGTTTATCCTATTCAGGCACGTGCACACATAGACATCAAAGGGAGCTTGAGCACCTGCCCTTTTTCTTCCTCGAGAGAAAT